TAACGCCCACCACAGAAATTGCTGCTTTAAGACGTAACTCACAACCAGCCTGCCTTTTCCCTTTTTTCTTTCACGGAGCACATTTTTGTAGAAAGAACGTGTTGGTTTGCCTCCGACCCCGACCCAGAGGCCCACGTGTTCGAAGGCTTGTTCCCGAGCTGATTCGGTCACCGAGAGGTGAAGGGGTCCTGAGGCTCTGACTTAATCACTGGATTTACCCACTGACGGATTCATTATTTGACGGAGTTCTTTGGAGGTGGTGGAATCCCGTGGAGGGTGGGGCCTGCACAGAGTAGGTCCCTGGGGACTTGTCCTTGGCACTCTTTCCTGTTCTGGACCCTTCTCTGTCCCACTTCCTGGTAGTCATGAAGTCAAAAGCCCTGCTCCCCGCACCCTTCACCATCACGCTCTGCCTCATCAGAGCCCAGAAACAATGACGCCAAAAGGCTGCGGGGCTGAAGCCTCTGAACAGTGAACCAAGGTAAGTCCTTCCTTCCTCAAGCTGCTTGCTCCGACAGTTTGTCACGGAGTCAGAAAGCTAACTGACCCAGCAATCATTGCCCTCAATGAATTTAATTTTAAAATAACTCATTCTTAGCCTTTTCCAGACTTGCAATTTATGTGATGCGAGATGTGTTTCTTTCTAACAGTCTGGGCTGAAGAACCAAGTTTGCCCCTGGAGATCTCATCTCAGAGTTGGTAACTCACAGTTACATTGAATGTGATTCATTTAAGGCTTAAATTTGTTCCTGGCTGGCAAATTGTGACTTCCTGGCTTAGAAATATTCTCGGGGGGGGGGGGGGGGGGGGGGGGGGAAGGAATCTCCTCCTAAAATGGTACCATGAAATAGTCTACAATCTACAACATTTTAATGACCTCATTGTAAGTGAATTAGAAACATTCAAATACAATTTACTTTAAAATAGATCTGGGTGTTAAAATAAGGGACAGCTGGCCGTTGGGATTCTTCTGACTTCAACCAACGAGAGATATTTGCCCCAGTAAGATACAATGTAATTTAGAAAAATAAAACAACTTAAAAAAACATTACAGTTCTCTATGAGAGACAAAACCTCCTAACACTTTTATAAAGAGAAAAAAGGCACCAAGGGAAAACTGTCTTTTTCACAAACAAACATCTATCATTGAGAACAGCCTCACTTGAAACAGTTAAATGTCTATTTTGTATTTACAAAGCTATAAGATGGGTCTGAATGCCTGACTAACTCCTGAAAGGCTCACATCAGAAAACCTGAGCCTGAGTGGAGGTTGGCTCTAGTGCAACATTATGGACATAGTATGTCTCCTCAACTCTGTTAACCCCTACTATAGCAACACAACTGTGAGGCAGTTCATTCCTACTGGACAGCTGGGAAAAGGAAGAGATGAAGGGCCATAAGGCAGAGGCAGGTTGTGAGGCAAGTTCAAGGTCCCACTGTGCTAACCTCTGACTTATGGCCTCTCCTTGAGGAGCTCCCAGGAAATATAAGCCTGGGTTAAAATATTTCACCAAATTGCAAGGGTTTCTATGTTGCATAAAAGCAGCAAATTGGATATTCTCTGATAGCAAAATGATGCAAGTTCCTAGGAAGTAGAAACAATATTGGATATGGCACAGATTCCCCATACTTCTCTATGGGTGACCAGTGCTTTAAAATATTTGAAAATTCCTCTACTGTAGTTTTAAAAGAAAATGGCTCCTAATAGTGATATTATTAGGAGGTGTGGCCTTGTTGGAGGAAGTATGTCACTGTGGGGTGGGCTTTGAGGTCTCTTTTGTTCAAGCTTCCCTCAGTGTGACTGTTAGTTGACGTCCTGTTGCCTGCAAGATGTAGCTCTTTCAGTTCCAGCACCTGCACACAGCCATGCTCCCTGTCTTGATGATAATGGACTGAACCTCTGAAACTGTAACTGAGTCACCCCAATTAAATGTTTTCTTTATAAGAGTTGCCATGGTCATGGTGTCTCTTCACAGCAATAAAAACCTAAGATACCTACTAACTGTGAGATATTAAATAAACAAAATTTTTATTTGGCAAGTATATGGGTAAAACTAAGGTACCAGTAAAACTAAGAATTCCAAAACCCTCATTGGAGTGAACATCTCTACTAATAGCGTTCACTGCCTTTCCAGTGAAGGTTTTCATTTTGTAAAATTTTCTTCTGAGATATTATAATTAGATTCTCATATTTCTTTTGGTTTTCTATGCCTTTTTGGAGGTGAGGAGGGGTTGAGGCAGGCTCATGCTGTGTAACCCAGGCTGTCCTCCAACTCATGGGAATCCTCCTGCCTCAGCCTCTTGAGTGCTGGGATTACAGGTGTATTACCACCATACCCAATTTTTTTTGAGCCTTCATTTAAACAAAGTAGTTTTAACAGGTAACTGGATTTACAGAGCCCCTTCTTGCAATGTGCACATCTTATTTTCTGTAGACATGTACACACACACACACACACACACACACACACACACACACACACACTGACCTGGATAGTTAGTAAGCTTTTATCACCAGGTTTGCATTCTCACCCTCCTCCTCAACCCCTATTCATTTCTTTCTGTCTCTTTCCCTCAGTCAGCTCTCTTATATAACACAGGGCTACCTGCCTAGGGAATGGTAGCACCCACAGTGGGCTAGGTATTCCCACATCAATGAACAATCTGTGACAGACCTTCCTGTCTCAACTTTTCCCCACTAAAACTGTGTGCTTCCCTCCCTATGTTTTTACCTCATAATTTTTAAGGGTCTCGGTTACTTTCATTCCTTTGACCCCAGAGACTGCAATATCCTCAGAGGGCACCGAACAATCTTTTAACCTCCACTTTACAGTACACTTCTGTAAAATATCCAACTCAGATTTTGAATGGAAATAATAACTGAGTCTCAAACCGACTGAAAAACCAGGGAATAAGCCAGGCAGTGGTGTTGCACACCTTTAATCCACTTGGGAGGCAGATGCAGGGGGATCTCTGAGTTTGAGGCCAGCCTGGTCTACAGAGTGAGCTCCAGCACAGCCAGGGCTACACAGAGAAACTCTGTCTTGAAAAACAAAAACAAACACAAAACAAAACAACAATCACACTGCTGATACTTCCCACTTTACTAGATGGTCATTTCCAACAATTTCTCAGCCTCATCCGGATGTGTCTGTTCAGACTGTGTGATCTTCAAGACCATCTGTACTTGGATCCATTACCCCCCACTGTGGGCTAGATTTGACTGGAGTTTCAGATTGGCGGGAAGTATACATCTACTGGTTCACTCACTCCAGCAGCTGCTGCCACCATGAAGACCCCAGACAGGGTTCACACAGCTTTCTAAGCAACCCCCCACCTCCAATGCCTGGATGTTGGGTTTGGAGGAAAGACTACTGTCCTGCTTCAGGAGTGTCCAGCCCATTGTGAATGTTACCCTGCCCTGGGCAGTTGGTCCTGGCTTGTATCTGGCTCAACACAGCCAGAAGGAGCACACCAGTAAGCAGCTTTCATCCACGGTCTCTGCTCCAGGTTCCTGTCTGGAGTTCCCTCAGTGATGGGCCTTTCCTCCTCAAGTTGCTTTGGGTTAGACTATTTTACTACAGCAACAGGAAGCAGAGTAGAACCAAGCCCCTTCAGCAAATTACTGAAAATCAAGACCCAATGCATAACATGTACGTTTTAAAGAAAAGATTATATTAAAATACCTCAAAAAGTTCACATTTTTTTTTGCTACAGTAATAGATCACTTCTTTATTGACATACATCAAGATCTAGCAGAGGGGTTACATGATAACAACTGTAATTTGAGACACCTGCAACAACCAAATGTCCCGGAGAAAACGATATTTTCTATTGATGATTGAGTTGTTGATACATATTCTCCTGCCTCTGTGGTTTACTGTCTACATTCATTATGAAACAAATGCTAAATGTCAGAGGGTAATAAAAACGGGGCACTAAAATGTACATTATTTCGTTTTCAGTAAAGTCCTGAGTGTCCCTGAAACAAGTTTTTCCATACTAAAAAAAGAATGCCTCAAATGCCAACACCTTTCTGGAACCCCACCCTATGCCCGGGAGGCACAAGCCTTCAAGCCACCCACGTGGACCTCAGAGCTGTCTCTAGGCAGTTCTCTTTCTAAGGAGACCAGGAAAAGCTGACAACAGCCGAACTCCAGAGCCCCAAATCGGAGGGCTCAGAGTCAGCAAGGCTGAGTTTCCTATTTTTCCCCCTCACCATCTGCCAAGAGAATCCCACTTCCTAGGATTGAACGTGATGGACGACTGTGTTTTTAAGTAATAGAGCACTATCGAAGTGTGCTAGTGCAACGACTTCGAAGCTTGGGTCCCTAGGGAGCCAGCAAGTATACAGCATCAATCCATCCCCCAGAGCTGAGCACGGTTAGGCGCGTCTAGAACTCCTGGAGAATGGATGAGCCAAGGAAGACTTTGCACATCGGCCCACAGCTCCGAGAACTACCGGCTTCAGACGCTCTGGACCGCACTTCGGGGGTGCACAGGTAGGAAGACGCCTGGGTAGCATTCCGGGGCTCCGGGACGCAGGGGGCGCTTCCGGGCAGGTGGCGGGACGGTGGGAGGGCAGCCGCGGGGTTCGCCGCTGCGGGGCGGGGCGGGGCGAGGCGGGTTCGGGAAGGTGCCCATGGCGGGCGGGGCCTCGGGCGGGGCGGGGCGGGGAGGGGCCGGCGCCCTCGTCACTTGATAAAACGCCTGAGAGTCTCTAGAGAACAACGGGCTCATTGAGCGGCTGCTGCGAGCGGCGGGCGTGGGGGAGCCGCCGGACCGGAGAGCGCGAGCCGGCCGGGGGTGGGGCCGCGCGCAGGGGCGACCGAGGCCAAGTGGCCGCAGCGGGGCGCGCCAGGCAGCCCGGCCCCGGCCCCGAGCCCGCGATCCCGCGCGCACGGCGGCCGCTGCAGCTCCTCGCGTCCCTCCCTCCCTCCCTCCCTCCCTCCGCGCCGCGCGCGCCCATGGCGGGCGCCGGCCAGCTGTGCCTGCTCTACCTGTCCGCGGGGCTTCTGGCCCGTCTGGGCGCAGCCTTCAACCTGGACACCCGTGAGGAGAACGTGATCCGGAAATCGGGGGATCCCGGGAGCCTCTTCGGCTTCTCGCTCGCCATGCACTGGCAGCTGAAGCCGGAGGACAAGCGCCTGTGAGTTCCCCGACTCATCCCACCCCCACCGGGGCGCCGCGCCGCGCTGCGCCAGGGGGAGCGTGGGCGCGCCCTGCTGCCTCCCGTCCCGCGTGCCCAGAGCCCATCCGCGGGCCAGCCCTGCCCGGCTCGGCCCGGCCCTGCCCGGCCCTGCCCTGCCCGCCTGCACTTCTCCGGCCCAAGACTTGCAGGGGCCGGGCTAGCCGCGCCCTCCGTGCCCTGCGCCTCCGAGGAGCGAAGAGAGCTGTGGGGGAGACCCCAGGCCGGGCCCCGGGAAACTCCTCCCCGCTTCTCCCCCGAAGTGCTTTCCGCGGTCCTCCTCTCCCGGCATATTTTTGCACAGACCCCGGCAGGTGGCACGCTTTGCTGAGCCTCATGTGTGCGCCAGGGACGGTGGTGGGACGTTAGGTTGCGGGAAGTCTTCAGGGGGACTCAGGCCTTTCTCAGACTCTCCGATCGTCCTGTCCCCTGCCTGGCTCGCGCGCCCCGCGGAAGTTGGGAAGCCACTTTTACGCTGTCCTGTGTGACTCTCTCTTTGCAGAGTGAGCTCTCCTACTTGCACAGGCTTTTTAAAAAGCACCTGTTCCGCAGGACTCGATCAGCTGTGAAAATAAGCTGCTGCTTCTTCGAGCGGTGTGCTAGCTCCCCCTCCCAGCTCCCTGATCGCTCCGCAACACCCAAGAATCCATGGGTCCCAGTGCCGGGAGTTAGACCACGGTGACCCATCCGAGCAGGGACTTAGCAAAGAAGGTTCGGAAGAGACAGTCATCCCCCACAAGGGCTGCTTCCATGAGAAAGCGACTGACTCTCCCTTTTAAACAGTGTTGGCTCCCACATGACCCAGTTCTTTTGACTGGGGAAGATTTTCTGGAGCTTAGTTGCCTGAGTCGCAGTGGGGCTGCATTCTTGATCCATGCTCCCGAAGCTGATTCTGACAACAAAAGATCCTCCGCCCCCTCCCAGGCCTTGAGTTGAACCCAGGTTCTTCCAGGACCAGCAGAGCGGAGAGAGCAGAGTGCAGTCAAGGGGGAAGGAGAGGCCAACATGGTTTTAAACCGGAGAAAGCCCCGGTTTCAGCTAGTTAAAAATGAAATTTGTGGACTTCAGAATCCTAAGGCCAGATTTTTCTGATGACACCTGCTAGGTGAGGCAGAGAAATCTACTACGGGTGGAATGGTTCCAGGCAGGGAGGGGTCTGAGTCTTGCAGACCCGGCCAGCCTCTGCTTTCTCTGGAAAATAATTGCTTGTAAGCTGCAACTCAGAAGTGAAAGTTGTTTTTTTTTTTTGTTTTTTTTGTTAGCTCAATGGATGACACTTCATGTCTCAAAACACTGTGCAGCAGACGCACATTACCCACATGGAGGACTTGAACTTGTAGGTATAGGAGTGATTGAGGGTTGACAGAGGGAAAAGCATTCATTCCCTTTGGCATTTTCTCTGTATCAGAGGACACAGAGACCGGCTTCCTGGACAGACATGCCCAAGCTGACATTGTAATGGGGAATAAGTGGAGCAAGAAGTGTCCTTGGGATGGAGATTGCAAATCGTGCCTTTAGCCAGGAATCTCTGTTGTCATTAAGGCTGAGCAGCCTTGGGCCTGCTGAAACTTGTCACTGCCACAGGGCTTCTCTGCTATTACAGCTGCTACAGGTCCTCCTGAGACTGATGCCGTCTAAAAACTCCATGCGGCTGATGGAAGGGAGTAGCTGGCCAGACCCTCAGAGGAGTAGAGACCCACTGAAAGGGATACTGTGTCAAATCCTAGAACCCAGAGGCAGAAACTGCATCCCAGGAGGCTGTGAGTTGTGTCTAGTACCTCTCACCCTGTCCTAAAGTATCCCGGGTTCGAGAGTAGCAGAGCCCCTCAAAGGAGAGTCAGCATCCACAGCCCATATCACCCTCATTCTCCCTTTTACAGAAAAGGATGTGGGTGTAGATGACAGAGCCAGGGAGACTGATGGGACACTGGGCCCAGTTTCCAAAGCCAACGGGAACATCTCAGGGAACTGGCTCCGGGGTGGGTGGGTGGGTGGTGGTAGAGGGTGTGGAGGAAGGCTGAATTTAGGTTTCTTCTTGGCCATTTATGCTGCCAGTCAGTTGCTTGAAGGTGTGGTTTCTTCACCTGTAGAGTGGAGATGTTCCTGCTTCATTGGGTTGTTGTGAAAATGAAAAGAACATGCAGACTGCTCAGTGTGTTTCTCTGCCCTGGATACCTGCTGGTTAGATGGGAAACAGTGATGGGATGCATTTAAAAGTAGAAACTGTGGGCCTACTATGTTAGGTGTGGGGTACTAGAGAGAGTTTTGTGATTCTAAGACTGACTCACATTAAAACCGAAGGCTCTTGCTTGGGTAATTAATATCCCAAACTCTTCGATCACATTTATGAACTCCAGAGCAACTTAGCTTACCTCAGGCTTAGCGTCATTGCAAAAGCAATCTTCCTGAGCAGTGCCTTTGAAACAGAGGGTTATGTGAGAATATCAGATAAATGCACAGTTACAGAAAAACCTACTGTAAGTTTTTTTTTTTCCTCCTCTGTAGCTTAAACTTTCTATGGTGCCATCTGTATATTCAGAAACACCTTTAGTTAAGATTTTTAGAGGGAATACCGCTGTGTCTGAAAGCCGCCAAATACCCTGGGTATTGCTGCTGAGGTCCCTAGGAGATAAATTTACGGTAGACTCCCAGAGGTGATTAAGCAGAGAGCTGAGTGACTGGGGTTGGGTGTGAGTCTTTCCTGGGTAGGTGGTGTTGAGTCTCCTCTAGAGGTGGAAGGTACATGGCGAGGACTGGGTAAATCCACCCTGTGACTCACTCAGCTCTTCTGGGAAGGTATGGATCTGTGTATGCTCCCAAGGTGGAACCTGGGAAGAGGTGCACTCCTGGAGAGAGTCCACTTCACGCCTAATCTTCATTTTCTTCTTCTGGGTTGGTCTTTTGGTCATTTGCTCTTCTCACTATTTTCCAGAAGCTTCCCAGGTCTCCTGTTACTTCTGTTCTCGCTGGGTGTTGGTTGTTGGTTTTACTTGATCGTGTTTTCTGAGCTAGAGGTCATCTGGTCCATTTGTCCCCTTTAGAGGTGAAGAAACAGGTTGTGAAATGTCTTACCCAGAGTCTTAGAGCTCTGTGGGCAGAATCTTATTCAAAACCTGGATTTGAAGGTGGTATTTCTGGCTCGTGTTTATGCTATCTGTAAGAGGATAAATCAGAGATGTCCTTCAGATGTAGAGAAACTGGCAAGCTTCTGACTTCTGGAAATGCATTCTAGCGTGTTGATTCATTGAACGGCTTCCCATGTAGGTCAGGGCTGTCTATTTAAGTATCAGTACGTAGACTCTGTTCCTCTTCACCCTTGTTGCAGCTGGCTGTGGACCAGTGGTGTGACCGTCTACCCAGGGCTCCGAGGATGTGCACCCGGCACTGGCTTCCTTGTATTCATTCCCTCCAACAGAGTGCCGGGTGGCTCAGGGCCATCTTCTGAGAACTGCTGTGTCTCCTTGAGGCCCGAGATTCAGGAGAAGCAACCACAGTAGGGCAAGGAGACGCAGAGGAAATATTAGGAACAATACATCACTGTTTAAGTCTTTACAGTTGGGAAGTACTGGAAGTCTATGGTCTTTGGATTTAAAGACCTGGATTTAACATATTTCTGTGACCAATATGGCTTATGAATTCTACATCTTAATTAGAGACAGTGGGGCTAAAACCAAAAAATACTGTTATTTGTTTACCAGGTATGCATGAAACACTGGTTTGTGCTGAGTCAGCCCATCTTAAAAAAAAAAAAAGTCAGATCTCAAGAAATATCCTACCTAGAGCAATTTCTTTATCCCTTGAATGTGGGCAGCACATGTCTGGCAGTTCTGAGGTTTAAAGCTTTATTCATCTTCAGGGGATGATGTAATCTCTAACTGGGTTGTAGGTTCTGTGAGGGCAGGGACCTCAGGCTCCTCTTTGCCAGAGAACACCTAGCTATGCCTTCCAGATACAAAGAGGTTTAACTTGTGAAATCAGCTCTTCTCCGCTGAAGGTAGAGAGAGGGAGCAATCTGCTTTGCTCAGGGCTTGGGGTCTGCAGTCTCTGGGGAAAGGGAAGCTAAACACCTTCCAGATACAAAGAGGTTTAACTTGTGAAATCTGCTCTTCTCCGCTGAAGGTAGAGAGAGGGAGCAATCTGCTTTGCTCAGGGCTTGGGGTCTGCAGTCTCTGGGGAAAGGGAAGCTATAGGCTTGATGCAAAGAAATATAAAAGTTCTTATTTTCCATTTTAATGGCCAAGTTCCAGCTAAGGGTTTTCAGGAGTGATTTTTTTTCCCCAATCACGTTTGTCTTTTGCCCTGAAGGCAGATTTTAGAATTTAACCTCCAAAGACCAGCTGCTCTGAGCTGCTGCAGTGGGTGGGTACACAGGGTTTGCTAAGTTGCCTGTTGTTTGAGTCTAGCCAGGCAGACAACTAGAATCAACCTCCTGAAAGCAACTGGAGACCAAATGGGAAAGCCCATGAGGGCACTTGGGAATTAATAGTGAGGACAGTGAGTGGTGTTGGCTATGTTTAACTCCTTAGGCGCACTGTTGACTACCTGCTCATCCCTCTAGGGTCCCAAGAGTCAGAAAATGGGAGTCTTGGGTTGGTTGACACTGCCTTCAGGCTCTGGGGAGGACTGAGGGCTGTGAGAGAGGGGGATGTGGCCAGCCCCAATTGGGTTCGGGTGCAGCCCTAGAATCAGATAACTTTAAACCTGGAAGGCACGTAGGGGCTCTTACATGTCTGATCATCAGGGTAACTCCTGGGGGCTCTTCTTTACAATGCAGTCTTCTGGGATTGTCCCAGATTGATGACATCAATTCCCATATGCGTGACCCTAGATTCTGCTCCCCAGAACTCTGGGTTTGCACTAGAGATGCCTCCCTTCTTTATTTGGAGGTAGCTTGTGAAGTAGAGAAGAACAGAGCTTAGGGCTG